CTACACCGATACTTTCTTATATTGTTAAAGACTTTTTTTTAAATCACGAGCATATTCTTGTAACACTTTTTTTAATTTCATGGTACATTATTTTAAATGGTACAAAATATCCATTTTTTTAATTAAGAAAATAATTTTATGCACTAAATAGACATTTAGAAAAAAATACTAACAATTTTTTCGAAATACATGAACATTTTTAAAATATCACGACATTTGTAATGTTGTCAATATTTCTTTAAAGTTGCACGAATTTTTTTGCCACACCAAATATCTTTTTTAACATGGTATGAACTTTTGATAAATGTAAGTAAAATAATTTTTTATTTTATAAATGTAAGTACAAGTAATAAAATAAAAAAATAAAATGCGGGCCAGAGAGCCAGCGCTGCTCGCGCGTCAAATCGGCCCAATTATGGGGCGCCTAAGGCGAGCGGCATGAACATACACCTATGCCGAGCAGAGCCTCCTGGGGACCATACTGGGTGATGGCTCGGTCTTCCCATGCGGGAACATAGTTATTTGGCCCACTAAAATCAGTAAATGGCGGGCCATAGGATACAAGTTTCTTATTTGGCCTCGGCTAGCACTTTGATCTTAGCAATTGACACCAACATCTCCGGTTGTAAATAGCCTGCTGCTTTTCAAGTCAAGTGTGGAGGGGGCAGTGGCAGTATCAAACCTACTGGATACATATTCCAATGCCTCAGGACAACAAGTCAACCGTGACAAATCATCCATTTACTTCAGCAAGGGCTGCCCTCAAGTGGTAAGAGATAACATTAAAAACATGCTCAACGTGCAGGACGAGTCTCTGAATGAAAGATACCTTGGGATGCCAACAAATGTGGGACAATCGAAAATTGGCACTTTTAGATATCTCAAAGACATGGTGTGGGAAAAGGTTAAAGGCTGGATGGAGAAGCTCCTATCGTCTGCAGGCAAGGAGGTCTTGATCAAGGTTGTGGCCCAGGCACTGCCGGTGTTTTCGATGGCATGTTTCAGGCTACCAAGGGGATTATGTAAAAATATCATGGCCATTATTCGGCAGTTTTGGTGGGGAAGTAAGGCGGGAAAGAGAAAGCCGAGTTGGGTGGCTATGACAAGGCCAAAACATTTGGGCGGACTAGGGTTTCGTGATATGGAGATTTTCAACCTAGCGTTGTTAGCCAGACAGGCGTGGAGAGTAATGAAAAACCCCCAACTCTCTCGGTGCTAGAATCCTGAAAGCGGTGTACTTCCCTGATACTACACTGCTGGAAGCCGAACTAGGAGGAAGACCGTCTCAGATTTGGCGAGCAGTGCTAGACGGGAGAGATATGCTCAAATTGGGAATCATCCGCCGAATTGGGAATGGTAGATCAACCGAGATATGGCAACATAATTGGCTCCCGAGATAGGGGATGATGAGACCCATCACTTCCCTAATCCCGAACCCTCCCAGATATGTGTCGCAGCTTATCATACCGGCGACGGCCGCCTGGGACGAGACACTGGTTCGGGCAGCTTTCCTGCCAATAGATGCAGAGGCAATATTGTGTATCCCGTTATGCACAAGAAATATCAATGACTTTTGGGCTTGGAGTGGAGAGACAAGAGGCTTATTTTCTGTCGAATCAGCATATAGAATCATTTTAAACACCAAACTGACCAGAGAAAACTGGATCGAAGAGACGGCGGGCACATCGGGTTCGGAGCGGGAAGGCGACGCTTGGTCTACCCCGTGGAAGGCAGAAGTTCCGCCCAAGATTAAGCTTTTCCTCTGGAGACTCGCGAGAAGCTCAATACCCACCGCGGATGTGCTTGAACACCGGCACATGGCTGTTTCAGCTGCGTGCAAGATATGTGGGGCTCCTGATTCCTGGCGACATACGATGCTTGAATGCACAATGGCTCGGTGCATCTGGTCTCTAGCGGATGAGGGTCTAGTCCAGGAGATGAGCCAGCATACCAACAGTAATCCACGGGACTGGTTGTTTGCTATGAATGAAGCGCTAACGGGGACATGTTTGAACATATGGCGGTCACAATTTGGGCTATCTGGAGCGTGAAGAGGAAAGTTGTGTATGAAGACATCCACCAGAGCCCGTTGTCCACCCACCTCTTTATACATCATATTTGTCGGATATACACACTCTGAGGAAACCATCGCCGGTGGGAGGCAGTACCAGAGTACAACGCGCTAATCACTGGATCCCCCCCCCCCTCCCCCGCCCAATATGATGAAGATCAATGTGGACGCTGCAGTGGCCGGGAGATCGGGTGTGGGAGCAGTGGGAGCTATTGCCAGAGACGGCGCGAGATCTTTTCTGGGTGCCTCAACCTTTGGCTTCAAATCCATCACTGATCCCACCACTCTTGAAGCACTTGCGGTTAGAGAATCATTGGCATTGGCAGACGATTTACAGCTCCGCTCTATTAAGGTGGCATCTGATTGCAAGATCGTGGTTGACGACATCAAGCAGCAAGATGGAGGGGGTTATGGTGCAATTATTCAGGAAACACTAGAACATTCCCGTAGTTTTACCTCTTGTATTTTTTATCATGAGTTTAGGAGCTCGAATGTCGAGGCTCACAATTTAGCGAAGCATGCTTTAAAGTTAGGAGGTGGCTGCCATGTCTGGTTAGACCACCCGATAACCTCTCTTTCGTCCCTGTAACTTTGGTGACGGATCAATAAAAGCTTCGTGAATTGTCTAAAAAAAGCAATTGACACCTCCTAGTCATGCTTTTTGCTCCCCTAAAAAAAGTCATGCTTTATGCACCCGGCACCCCTAAAAAAGGTCATGCTCTATGCGTGCAATTACATCTGCACATATCTCGCAACAAATGTAGCAGTGAAGCAAATATTCCATCCTAGTAAGATACACAAATATTGCAAGAGAGTGAATTTTTAGAATCGTGTTGCCTATGGATGCTTCCCATTTCGAAATATGTGAGATTAAGAGGCGGAACAGGTTTTACCGGGCAAAAAGTCATGTTAGTATAACATGTGCTATGGTTTTTGTAATTCCCGTACCAAACAAAGTCTAGTCCTGACCAATGCCATGATCGGTTCGGTTGTATATCTTGGAGCTCGTTTTCGTGGACTGTTTTGAATTGGTCTTGTTCACACCGACCGGTTGAGCAATTTTTCTCATGTTTGATCGTTTGTGCATAGGATTAGTAGGAAATGTTTTAGTATTGGTTTCTGGCATTGGTCTTGAATAGAAATCTTTCGGTGAAGAGGTACCATAGTCTTGTCGAGCTTTATTCGTACTTCCTCAGTCTGAGTTTTATAAGTCCCACTTGAATGTATTTTGGATCAAAATTTGACCATAAATTTAATAAAATATAATTTATATGTAATAAAAATTAGACCATTGAGAAGTTCTTTCATACATGAATTCAACATAATATTTTTGTGTCAAATAAATTAAATTTTACTAGTCAATTTATGGTTAAAATTTGAGCCAGAATATAAGAGGGACTAATAAGCCTGGACGGAGGTAGTACTATTCAATCTAGGTCTGTGTCCATGTTTAGTGAGTGAAACCGTCCTAGAAACAACTTAGTTTGTTTCGTGCCAAAAAAAACATCGGGCCTTTCTAGGACTGTCACAGCCATAGTTTCTAGCTGCGTGTGCCGATGCTCATGTGAGATATGCTCTTCAAGTATGAACTTTTTGATATTACTTCATGGGTAATACTATCTGTTACTACTATGTTGATGAATAGCGTTGGACGGTTGCTAATAGAACTCAGGCTCCATGGAGCCTGAATTTTGGAAACCTCAAAAATTAACATTTCAAATTTCAAAATTTATCAAAAACAATTACTCCATGTGTGTAAAGTTTCATGATGAAATATGTTTTGACGTGCTAAAAATCATGAATTTCATGATTTTTTTTATGTAGCTCACATCAAAACATATTTCATAAGAAAAATTTATGGACATTAAGTATACATCCTTTGATCCTTATGTAAATGTGTGATTTTTGGAAATTTAAAAAGTTGTTTTTTTGATTTTTTGCAAATCCAAAATTTATTACTCAGATTCAAGGCGCTATATTGCAGGTGGCACTCAGAACTAGAGATCCAAATGTCACCATAGAGAATGTTTGTTCACGCAGGTGTAACTTTTTTCTGAATCGGATGTATATAGATACATTTTAGTGCGTTTGTTCACTCAAATATCCAAAACAACTTATATTTGTGAACGGATCAAGTACAAGACAAGCATCATGGACTGTATTGCCTGTGAAAACAGGGTAAAAGGGACCGGAAAATTTAACCGATTAAAGAAACATGAACCAACAGGTGGACCAAATAATGCCGGACCAATGATTCAATGACACCAGCAATACAACAGTATACAAATATTCCACTAACAACCAACGATGAAAAGAATATGAGGAAGGCACCACACTTTGTCACGACAACAGCAAGAATTGAGGTTTCAACACAAACTGTATAGCAGAAAATGACGTGATCACAGTAATCATTACAAAACATGTTATATGACAACTGCCACATCATGCCACGATCTTACATTATTAGCTGTCTGACAACCGCCCAAGTTCCAGCTAACCACATTATATACGCTATAAACACTGTATTTAGTGAAGACACAAATTTGCTACTAGAGCAAACCTGAAAAAATAAGAAGAAAAACGACACGGCCTTCTCATGCGAAGTCGCATCTGAAGTAAGGAGAAAAAGAACAGGTTGCCCTTCCTTGTCTTCACAAGTTGCAGAGCCTCTTCCGACATTCAGTATTCGTCTTTTTCGCGTATTTTCCGGGCCATACATGACACTCCTTTAGTAACCGGAGTTACAAAAAAAGCTTCTGGAGAACATTGTATTCAGCCTCTATTTACGCCTGAGAGAGATACAACTGCCCGGAATAGCTTATTGGTCAGAAACCACTTGCGCGTTAGTAACGAACACTTGAGCCAATTAACCCAAATCACGTTTTTAAGTATATAGCTGCTGTTTTTTTAGACTGTTAGAAGTGTCTTATCAGTGCTGAGAGAGGTTCAAGTCGATTCCAATGTTCATCCCGTTGTACGCAATTGGCGCATACATCCACATTTCATCAGAGCTGAGGAGCTGCACATAGTAGTAAATAAACCATTAAATAACTCTTTAACACGCGCATTCAAAATGGATGAAGTTCTGAACTGAACTGTGGAAAAGCCTCTCACCTTAATTTGAAGCTGCAAAAACTTCACATACTCCACTGCCTCTTCAAGCATAGTGCTGATATCTACCTGCAAGATAGCACAAGGGTTGATCTTTGAGTTGTTGCCCTTCATTTTACAGTACTATCCCCCCAAAAGCTATGAAGGACATGTTGCTGAGATGCTTACTTTGGTTCCATTCGGAACAAGGTTCTGTAGTACCTTCAGCCTCTCATTGATCTTTTCTCTTCTTTTCTGTATCCAACCAACAAGAGCATGAGTAACTGTTAATTTTAATTAACAGCAGAAAACTGAGAGGATGACGTGTAGCATACCCTTGCATAGAGGCTCTGGGGATCTGTTGTCTGGCGGCCAGCCTGAGCCTTGCTCTTCGGCTTAGAGGCAACAGGAGGCTCTTGAGAAGCATTAGAGTCAATTTCAGACGTGCAGCAGCTCAAGCTTTGCTTGTTTGTGTCAGTAGTGGTGCCATCGTCACCTTCACATTGCATGGCCTTCTTTGTCCGCTTCGAGTCGGCCTTCCTTGAGTATTTCCGACCCTGCATTTCAAAAAGATTCAAGCAGTAAGCATTCGCACCGGGCAACTAAAACGACCCTTGTACAAAAAAGAACAAAGCATTGAACACTCACACTTGTTTGGTCAGCTATTTTCCCCTGATCCTGGCACTTTCTCTTGTTGGACGTGTCGATGGAGTCGAGCAGGTTCATGCTCGAGTCTCCAAGATCGTCGCAGCTTGAATCGCCATTCCCATATGAAGGGTTGAAGATGGCATCCATAAACTGAGCCGCACCTTGCTCCTGAACCATGTTCAGGTCAAGTGCTGCGGTACAGGAGCCAATCCCATTTGAGTCGCCCAAATAGAAGCCCCCATAATCCGACGGCATATCAAGGACGAGACTACCAACACTGTTGCTACTAGCGGAACTGTATGCATTAGAGCTACCGTTACAGTGGGCATAGTATGCATGTGTGGCCTGAACAGACCAAGGCAGCTCCTGGTGTTCTTCCTCGCCGTTGGAGGGGAAGGTGCCAAGCAGCTGCTCCATCATCTCCGACTCCTCCGCCTGCGACGTCAGGCCAAGTGAGTCCCAGCCCGCTTCAGTAATCACTCCTCCAGACTCCATCCTGATATAAGTGTAGGGTGTGAGAGAGGACTTGGCTGTTTGATACACTTGTGCTTCCTGAAGCAAAAATGCAGGTTAGGACAGGTGCATTTATACTGATGAGAATGCTGAAGGAAAACAGAGCAGCTGCAGGATTAAGAAATGCAGGATCATGCTTAGAGAAATGGACACCCACGGCTGGGTATGACCTGTGCTGACAACGACCCTTCCAAGTATGGCCTGGGGATGGGCAAATAATGAGTTTAGAAAACTTCAACTGCTAGTTGGTAGACAACAAGATAGTGAATTATCCAAGATCACACATCTTCAGAAGTCAAGCCAATCAAAGCTCGAGTGGCAAGTGTCCCAAGGCCGGTTACAATGATTGCCGAGAATTCTCCCGCAACGTCGATGCACCAATAGGGCAAGGAAAAAAACATGCCTCTGAGGTTCAAATCAAAGCCAGGACAAACATGGGCTTATCTTAGCAATTAATACAGGATCAGGCATTATGAATTGTGGAGAATGTTGTTGGAATGGAATAATTCACTCCCAATAAACTAGAGTTGCAAGGAGAGGCTTGCACGACCATGATGGAGGGAATCTGGACATTTTTAAATGCTTAAAAGGGATTGGACAATGCCTCCAGTCCTCCGTGTATCCCGATTGCTTGTCATCTTATACTCAAAATGTACAGCTTTCCATCACCCCTATTTCAACAGCATCTGCCCGCAACCTTCGTGTCTGTTTCATACTTATGATACCACATCATCAAATTGAAACAAAGCCACTGATACACAATAATTGCACCAATCATTTACCTTTCGCGAACGAGTGTATAGAAGAAAGAGCTCCGAGTACCCAAACAGTGTGATATAGATCTAGACAAACTGAGAACTGAGGAAACCTGTACACGTTTGTAACTATCATCAGTATAACATGACATCTGTCCGGTGGTCAACCAGGTAACAGTTTCAGCCAAGATTACCAGAGACATCACAGATTCACAGGTGGGCACTTCCAATCTTCTTTTCAGATTATGGCGTATCTTCAAAATCAGAGAGCATGTGAAATCCAAATGACTCTGCACAACATCGGTCTTGCAATGACCCGGCAAATCTGAGTCATTGGGTGATCTGATGCCGATATCCTCATCAATCGGAACTGATTTTCGTATATTCAGGGAATTAGGAGCTGCACATGACTCGAATCTACCAGTCGTGCAAGGAATGAGCTGTACTTTTGCACTGCCCCTTCGCCACCAAAAAAGGACTTATTCTTCTTGCCTCTTTGTTCCACACAGAGGATCAAGGAGAGAATAAACAATGATATCTAAGATGCTGGCAAAAGGAAATGAATTGGAAGGAGCAAGATAATGTGTTTTGTTTATAGACCTGTTTGTTGTTGCCCTTTTAGCTGCATGAAAGAATCAGGAACTTCCAAACATTCTGCAGCCAAATTGCAAAATGATTTGTGAAATACCTACATAGTAATCTTGTGTCTCTGATAGGCATAGAAATGAAGAATATGGAGTCTTAGAACATACCCAAAATACAAAGTAACTTTCCGACTTCTAGAAGGTCCACTTGCATCATGAGGAAGCGAAATTACAAAATTGTTTCCTTTGAACCCATTCAAATCTGAAGGGACAAACATGAAATTCTCCTTAGCCCACAGATCAAGCATAGGACTACCCCTAATAAAATATGTATGGATAAATAACCTTGTTGTTGTCTTATTAAGATTAAATAACACTAATAAAGCTACTTATGTATGGAGCTTGAGTATGAGTACTGCTCATGCGCACAAATATTACTATCCCCTTTTTTTCCAAGTGATCACTATCCCCTTTTTGGTTCTACATATCAAGGACGAATTTCATATTATTATTTTTGCATGTTAACTTGGATCACTTTATGTGCACTATAATAATGGATCTTTTCAGAACACTGTATCATGGAAATTTACCCAATGGGGATGGCAGCTTCACTTGGCAGCCAATTCCGATTCTTTGCTCAAATGTTTACACAACATATTTCTCATTGTTACTTTCAGTTTATAAAATGGTGTGTCACTTTCAATTGAGAAAAAGGATAATGGCAAGTCGAACCAAATAATGGAATATTACTGATTGACTTGCATAGAAGTGTCGATATGATAGATACCCAGGAACACAACTCTCCGACACAATATATTTCAGAAGTATTCGGTTAACTAGTCAGACAATAACATGTAAGACTTTTGATACATGGAAAGTTTTTACTTATAAATACTAATTTACTGAACTATATACATTGTGAACAACCTGCTAATTAAGTAGTCAGACAATAACATGTACTCCCTCCGTTTCTAGATAAGGGCAGCCCGGTGCATGTAGCTCCCGCTTGCGCAGGGTCCAGGGAAGGGTCCGACCACTTTGGGTTTATTGTACGCAGCCTTTCCCTACATTTCTGCAAGAGGCTGTTTCCAGGACTTGAACCCGTGGCCTCATGGTCACAAGGCAGCAGCTTTACCACTGCACCAAGGTTCCCTCCATTTCTAGATATAAGACCTTCTAGAGATTTCGATACGGACTACATTCGGATGTATATAGACGTATTTTAGAGTGTAGATTCACTCATTTTGCTCCATATGTAGTCCGTACTGGAATATCTAGAAAGCCTTATATTTAGAAATGGAGGGAGTAAGACTTTTGATACATGGAAAGTTTTTACTTATAAATACTAATTTACTGAACTATATACATTTACGTAACAAGCAATGGTGAAGAAAAGTATATCGACCATGTGAAATAGCATCCAAAACAAAGACCTTACCTGCAGAGTCGTTGCTACAAAAAAAGTTTGCTCCAGCCATGCTACAGGAAAATTAACTAGCACAGTAACGTAACTCAAATGAAACTGAGGTCAAAGTGTTTATAAGTAAAAGTTCCAGTAGGTTCTGCATGTTCTCGTGCCGCAGCATGCACTTGAAACCTATCTATCTTAGTTAATACGAATATTCTCAATAAATATACATTATAATAACTGCATAAACATTCTTTTAGATAACATGAATATTCTCAATAAATATACATTAAAATAACTGCATAAACATTCCTCACCTATTTAAGCTCAAGTGGATAAAATACATTTTGATATTTCCACATCTATGATGATATTATCATGAAAATAAAGCAACAGAAAATGAGAATAACATGAAGGCCGGTTTCATTTTATCTTGTAGGTATATCAAATAAGTGTGAAACACAGACTATAAAGACTTGCAATGATCTTGGCTAACCCAAAGCCCATCTGAATTTTACCACTCCCGAAAATACCACCAAACAAGTTGATTAAAAACAGAAGAACATGTATCATACTTTCATATTTCATATGCATTGTGAACGCAAAAAACTGAGAAGTCAAACAAAACAAAAATACATTAATAAACCAGAGAACGAACCAGAAGTCAGAGAATATGCATAAAGACCTGAAGCCTGAAGGTCAAAGGTTAATAAAGTAGTGCAGAAGTGTTTCCAAGCCTACAACCATTTCAAGTCAAACAGAACATAGCATCTTCGATTAGCACAACCAAAAAAGAAAGCATCAACAGTTAATTTTTAACTCAAAATTTTGCTAGGAGGGCCTAGATACATCTCCTAACAAGACCCAGTAGCAAAGCAATTTAAGAACAAGTGGTACTGAAGAAGTGAAGAGTTAAGAGCCCTTGAAGAACAATACTCAGGACAACTTAATATTCCTATTTCACCATTAGGCTTAAAGTTTACTTACATGCAACATCAGTTTTCTTTGCATTGCCTCTTACGTAGGTATGTAGGCTGAGTGGCTAACCCACTTTAATGCAATGAACAACTTAGGCTTATCATTGCAGCCTCCCTCATAGTCATATATTTACCAATTGATATTTTGTAGAAGATCGATATATGTACCTATATCTTTGACAAGTTTGTACAGTCACATCGAATTATTATGTTTTCTTAGATTTTGCAACATTAACATAATATTGACCAGTAAAAAAATGACAAAATTATAATATTTGGAGCTATATTTTTTTTATCATCACTCCAGAAAATGAAGAAAGTAATTAAAACTTTTGGCTGAAGAACTACTGAAACCTGACCATACATTTCTAAAATCAATTTAGAAGTTCAGAGTTCATGACAGGCTTGCAGCCCCTAACATATGTCAAAATAACAAAGATCTGTTGTGTGGATAGCACCCAACAGCATAACGAAAGAATCACCCAGACATAGAAGAACAATGGGAAATAAAAATAATAATCCCTGGGCTCCTCTTTCGATGCATCTACACACATTTATCATGTAAATATGAAATCAAATGAACACAAGCAATTCTCAAATAAAATTTATGCTGCCAGGCTCCTCTTGAATCACAACTGCATACGGGCCACACAAGTCAACCTTATTGCAAGCCCATTTACATTAACAGAACTAACTGCTGGAGTTTTACCATGGCATTCCAAAAAACAGATGGTAACTAATTAGATAGATTCAAAGTTGACTCAGAAATAAATCATGGTATTTTGATAGGCTAGAAAGGACAGAAACACAATGACCAGTTAGTTGCATTATTGTGGTAAAGTTTAGGATCTGGTCACGTCACACAAGATAAAATTTGACAAAGAACTTGAAAACTAATTTATCCTTTAATATTTAAAAGTAACACACTTCTAACTATTATCCAATGCTGACAGCAATGGTTGATGTCTCTGAATCAGGTTTTACACTGCTTTATTGATCTCATGACAAAAATCCACTGTAGGATATAATAGCCTTCGGACTTTCATTACACCAAGCCACTCAGTTCATACTCTTATTCAACTGCTAATTGTTGCTCATCTCTAAATACTACACCAGCACAAACCAAGTTTTGCTGTTGAGCGAGTTTGGTTACACTCCGACATTCAGCTCTTTGCTTCTCAACGGAAAACAGAGATGGGTGCTTAACTCCAAAGCATCATCGAAAAAGAGCACAACAAAGGCACAACATATCAAGGAAATAGGGGCTGATATTGCAGCCCCATGTTCTCAGGCAGTCCCATCATCAGATTGAGGTTCTGCACGGCCTGGCCAGATGCTCCCTTCACAAGATTGTCTATCTGCAGTGTTGAAGAACAAGAAGAATAAGGATTTTGCATCTTTAAGTCTGCAACATTTCGCTAACCTTGAGCAACTTATAGATTGATGCAACACTTACGACAGAGATGATGATGGCCCTTCCAGGAATTCTGTCCTCGAAGACATTCATGAAGCAGTAATTTGATCCAACAACATGGCGTGTGTGAGGAACATTGCTGCCATTTAACAGCTTGACAAATTCTTCACCCTGAAAAGATGCACACACAGAATGATGCTAACAAAAGAAAAGGCATTTATGTGGTAAAACTGTAAAATAGGAGCTCTCTGCAGATAGATAATTTAATCCACATGGTCAAACAAACAAACCTCATAAGTAGACTTGAGATGCTGATACAAATCACTGACAGTCACTCCAGGTGCCATTTCAACAAACATAGTAGATTGCATCCCACGTTTCTGTTCATCATACAGATAAATGATTTGATTTAACAACTGAATTCCACACATTTTTTATGCATTTAGTGCAGGTGCAGCACAGAACAAACTGCAGAACCTGGAGTTGTCTTTGAGTAAGTGCTTACCATGCAGATAAGATTTGGAGTGAAGCTGATAGTAACTTTGGATTCAGCAGCCTCTGACAATCCCTGTTCAACCTCAGGAACTGAAATGGTTTTATCTCATTGTCAGTAAGGCCATACTAAAGCCACTTTACCAAAGGGAGAACAAATGTCAGACTTGAGATGTTTGGAAAAAAGGATTACCATGACGGTGGCCTTTTATTCCGTAAGCATGAATGCCTTCAGCTATCTCGGTGTACAGATTTGCTTCCTTAGCTCCACGTCCTAAAGAAATAGATGTCATGGGGAGCAGTTTGGTTATTAATCAAGTCATTACAAGCTTATATTTTGAAGTCATCGTATCTTCAAAAAATACCTGCCCCGGTAACCCCAGATTTTGCATCAATTATTATATTGCTCAGCTTGATCAGTTTTGCCTGCAAGGTAAAATAAAATATGGTTAGAACCTCTGATCCAGTTCTGAATCCCATGTGGAGACAAGGTATGTCCGTAACCTAGATACTAAGAAGACTACTCCCTCCGTTCCAAATTATAAGATGTTCTAACTTTTTTCTGAATCGGATGTATATTTGTGTGTTTGCTCACTCATTTCAGTCCATATGTAGTCCATATTGAAATATCCAAAACATCTTATAATTTGGAACGGAGGTAATATTAAACTGATGACATTTTAAAATTTACATAAAGGAGCGTGACTAGGCAGAATATTTTGACAAATTTACTTCCTTTGCTACAGAAAATGGAGATTCTTTGTACAAATATATCACACAAGTGGGGGCTATTGAGTCTAAATTTGTGTTGCTTTGATCAAAGAATGGGAGGACTAAGAACTTCTATTGATTCTAACCTTTATTAGAGGAACAAGAGGGAGCTGAATAGACGTGGGATAACATCCCGGGTTGGCAACAAGCCGAGCATTTCTTATTTCATCTCGAAGAACCTCCGTCAAACCATAAACAGCCTCTTCCTGAATATAAAGATACACAGACCACAAAGGAAATGAGTTTATAACAAACACACAAAATGACAGGAGAGGAGTAAAAAACATCATAGGCTACAAAGGAATCTAACTGAAGCCCCAAATGTAATATACAAAGAAATCGATGGAACATGTCAATAGGAATCCAAGTTGGTAATTAAATGTTGAAACTGGAACTTCAGAACTTGGTAGCTTCAAAATTTGTGTGACCAATGGCTGGTATATTAAAAAATCTGTAGGGTATAGTAGTCAAGAAAACCTGAAGTTCTGGTGCCCTATGAGCATGACCATACCACTCAGCATACTCATTGATGTCACGCAAACGGAAATCCTGCAAGCATGGTAAGTCAGAATGATTGGATGTTCAATAGCAACCGAGGACCTATGCAGATAAAGCATGAGTTTGTGTAGAGCATACCGCAGAGAGATCAACAATCTTCAGTTGCTGGGGTAAGCCTTTAATAATTTCCTGATAAAAAACTTGCGATCAGACATTGCTCTTAGTGTGTCCAGTACAAAATCTGATCTCCCAATTGACAGCAGAGCATATAACTGGATTCCTTCATAAGTTCAGCAATTGATAGAAAATATCTCAGAAAAATCATGATGAAGATACCAACCTGTGTTGTTCCATGTGGCAAGCAACAAAAAACAGCATCAACGTCTGAAAAATCTGCATCTTTAATTGCAACTAAATTTGGCAGGTCCTGCAATATTAAAAGAGGATCAACATAAGCCAGCACAAATTCATATACAGAAATGTGCTACTGCTGAAAGGTTTCGCTAATTCTTGATGTACAAGAATGATGCATCAAATAAGGAGGAAGTGAAGAGAAGTTCTTACTTGTGTTATCAAGTGAGGAAATACAGATCCAAACTGTTCACCAGCTTTTCTGTCCGCGGTCATCACTGTGATACGGAACTGAGGGTGGTTTGCTAGAAGCCGAACAATCTGTTGGCAAAAATGTACCGTGCAACATTAGTAACTGAACCATAAGAGGATCAGAATATCGGAATCCTAGCACCGGAATGTTGCATCGGAAAAGCAAAAAAAGATAAGTGCATAGGAGTAAAGGTGGGTTGTCCTGTTAGATTTGCGACCAAACTAACCCTACCCTGCCAGATTTCTGGTGATAATGGCCAAGAATGTGCCCCTTGTTTATATGGTTGCCGGGTAAAACAATCTACCCCTGGGCCTGGATGATAAGCAGTCAATACAAATGGAAAATGACAGGGAAAAAATAACAACCTCAGCTCCAGTATAACCGCTGGCTCCTAGCACTGCAATGCGCACTTCCTCCCCTGATTTAACTGCTGGTGTCTTAGGAGAGTACTGTTTTTGTGGTGAAGAAGCAATGGATGCTCTCACACAAACTGAAGAGCGTCCAACCTTCAATGTAGACATTTTTATTAGTACGTGGAGTATGACACTAAACAAACAAATATTTATAAGAAATAAGAGAGCATAAAACTCACCTTAGGAGTTGTTTTGAGCTTGAAACCACCACATGGCTTGAAAGTAGATCCAAGGAGTCCATTCTACACGTGAAATAAAAAAATCACCTCAGCGCTTAAGTTAAAAATAAGCAATTTCATGACGAAACAGGATGCAATTGCTGGAACAATGCCACAGTTGGGTCAGAGGACCACCCGTTATGACCAATTCACTCTTAAGATATGCAGTTCATGTTCCCATTTAAAAGATGCCATCATACCATTCTCAGACATTTCAGTTAGCAAATTCAAAATTGCTTACTGGTACCGAAGCAATCAGTTTCACTAAAACCTTACTGTAGTTTGATGAAACTCCCATGCTATGCTTTAGGCATATGTTTATTACATCCTCTACAAAGGGGAAAAACGACCATACTAAACAGCTAATCGGGTTATGACCAATTCACCCACTCTTAAGGTACAGTTCATGTTCCCATTTAAGAGATGTCATCATACCATTCTCAGACATTTCAGTTCGCAAATTCAAACCTTACTGGTAGCGAAGCAATCAGTTTCACTAAAACCTTATTTCCCACTCTACAGAGGGGGGAAATGACCCGCACTAGAACAGCTAATCGCGTTCAACTGACAGGTGAGAACCAACCAATACACGGCCAGGGCTGGTTAACACAGTCCGAACCAACTCAGGCACGCCCCTATTCATTTCCCCAATCAATCAGAGCTTGAACAGGACAGAAAAGGAACCAAAGAGCGGGAGTCACCTTGGGGGCCAATCCGGCGCGCGCCGGAGCCGCACCACCGAGCGCCGTCGATCCCATGCCCGCTACGGGGGGTAGTCGGGCTCGCCGGCGTCGCGGAGGGCTGGCAAATCGAGATTGATGGGAGTCAGCTGAAAGGTGGAGTTACAGCAAGTGTCAGGAAGGTGTGGGAGCGTATAAATGCACCTCGTGGGGAAAGGGAAGGAGGGCCGGTCGCTGTGGGTGCGCTGGCGACGGCGGCGGCGGCTACGGGCTTGGTTGGTGGTCGCAGCGCCGTTCCTCGCGGTCGTGGATTGGGTAGGTGGACCTGGGGGGTCTGGTGGGCCGGAGGGGGCGGGCTGTCAGCGGGGCTGAGGGCCTCGTGGGAACTGTTCTTGGAGTGACCTGTATGGTGGCATTGTTTGGGGAGCACCGGGGCCGAGCCCAGCAGTGGGTGGGGTAGGAGCAATCGCCCTGCTACAGCAACGGGGAGGGTTCCGAGCCGGGGGAGTCGGGTGACGGAGCAATCGCGGCGGGGAACGGTGCGTGGCGCGCCCGGCCGGAGGAGACGAGAGGCGGGGCTGGAGTGCGGCGTATGTGTCACGCACGTATCCCTGACTGAGCCCAAAGCCGGCTTCCCAAACCTGCCTTAAACGCTCGCGGCACCAACACTGTTACTGTTTCTGACACCATCACAACAGTCATCAAAAGTAAAAATAACGGCTCACCTTCATACTCGAGCTCGACGCGGCCCCATCGCTGATATACAGCTTTACGGACCTACAAGATGGCTCACTAATAGAGGCGAAATCATTGCCGTTGGACGAATCGGACTGAGGCAACACCCCGAGAACGTGAACTCCAGATCTGACTCCCCCTGCACAACTAAAACGTCGGAGGAAGAAATCATATATGTCTATCACGAACCACGAACCTAGCACACGATCCACCATCTTTCATATGCCGCCAATGCAGACCAATCTGCATCCGCTCCTAAACTACCTCCCGAGCTCCGCGCTAGTGTTGGAGCAAACGCCATCACAACAACGGAGCCCGAGGACATAAATCCAACACAAGAATACCATCAACAACAAAGTCCCGAGACTATGTGATCTGCATCAACAACCTAAAGAGACGTGGAGAGGGGTGCTTTTTGTAGATCTGGGTCGTTTCCGATAAAAGTAGTATACTACAACCAACGGACTTCCAACGCTGGAAAAAACTGCATCTACGTAAATGCACGGCCATGAAGCACTAACATGCACTTCCTTCATCCCATAATATAAGATCATTTTGCAAGCTTACTTATAAATACTTTCTCATTGAAAAAATATGTGAGGTGGTTGATGAAGCTATGTACCTAGGGTAGGATCATGGACCTGTCATACCTACCCTACCCGAGGACATCTCTAGAAGAAATCACCTTTCAATCGACTTGAAGATGTTCCACTCGACAGGCTCGAAGACACTCGACAGACTCGAAGACACTCGACCAAGAAGCAACCACTCGACGGCCAGGAGACCTAAAGTCACTCCGCACGCTAACGATCGGTCATTAAATAGCTTTTTATGGTCATCATAGCACTTTATTACTAGCGTTACCAGTAACGCCTCGCCTTAATAAACATTGAACCATTGGTAACGTGGCCTGGTCGGGGGCCTGGCGCACTCTATATAAGCCACCCCCCCTCCGAGACAAGGGTTCGCACCTCTGTAACTCATGCACGCATAATCCAGTCGACCGCCTCCGGGCTCCGAGACGTAGGGCTATTACTTCCTCCGAGAAGGGCCTGAACTCGTAAACCTTGCGTGCTTACAACTTCTCCACAGCTAAGATCCTGCCTCTCCATACGTACCCCCCTACATCACTGTCAGGCTTAGAACCACGACAGTTGGCGCCCACCGTGGGGCCGGTGTTTTAGCGTTTTGTTGGAGGAGTTGCGATCTTTTCCGACCCGAATCATCATCGTTTTCGACGGAGTTTTGGTGGAGGGCCGCGAGATCCGTCTCGGCGCGCTCACGTTCATCGCCGACGACTCCGCCTGGCTTCAGGAGGCTCCGCTCGACGTGGACGCACTCCCTGTCCGCGGGGCAACACACTTTCGCGCGTGCGTCCGCGGCGTTCTCCTGCGGCAACCGTCGACCCCTTACCGGTCGGCTCCTGTGTTGTCCTCCCTCCCCGTTTCCCGCCGGCGCAAGCGCTCCGGTCGGTCGAGACTTCAGCAGTGGGTGAGACACGCGGTGGCCCGTCAGTCGGCCATCCCTCAAGTCGCGGCGATCGAGCCCGACGAATCCCTCTACGGCCTGTTCAATCTGTCGACTGGCTCCGCAGAGACCGCATCCGAGTGCGGTAGCAGCGATTCGGCGACGGAGGTTCTGATGGCCGATGGACTACCCAGTCCTCCCGGTTTTCCCAGCACCGACGGAGGCACGGGCGGAGGCGACCCGTCGCATCCCCATGAGGAATATCTTCCCGAGCCTCTCACGTCGCTGCAGAGGGAAAAACTTCGCCGCCGGAACATGGATGCACTGCACACTCCTATCATTGGAGAAACCCCCGAGGCTCGCGCCTTGGAGGACGCGCACCTGGCAAATTTGGCCGAGCGTGCTCGACTAGAAAACCTCCAGCGAGCACTCGACGAGCGGGCGCGACAACGGGTTCCCGAATCCAGTCGACGTCAGCTTTTCCCGCCCCCGCAGGTATATCGAACTCCGATTCAGAATTTAGCAGCTGCAGCCCGCATAGCGGAGTCAATTCAGCCTTCCCAGTCGGAGGCTGGCAGAGGCTTGCTGCAGATCAGAGCGTTGCTCCGGGCAGCAGGAGATCAGAATTCCGCTATTTCTCAGTTGCGGAACAGGATTCACAGCAGATCTGTTGCCACGGACACAGTCCAGTCGGTTCACAGCCCGAGATCGCCCCCGAAGCGTGAGGGACGTGGGGACCGGCGTGACCAGTATGGGAACCATGAATAGTATGAACACCGAGTCGGTCGTGACGGTCGGCGTCGAGTGCCCACGCCTCCCCCGAGGAGCGGGTCGTATGTGCCTCGCCAGCAGGATGACAGGCGCACTCATAGTGGTGGGCGAAGGGTTTCAGTCGACCCCAGAGGGCCAGGCTTTGACGCGAGATCCATTCTCGTCCAAGGTTTGGTCGACCGGAACAGGGCTCACCGAGAAGGTCACGACAGAGATGCCCCTACCAACAGCAGAGTGCATGTATCGAGGCCAGAGTGCTTTAGTCGAGCCATCAGGGCCGCTGTGATTCCTCCCAACTTCAGGTTGGCGACTGGAGTCAGTAAGTTCACTGGCGAGTCCAAGCCCGATACTTGGCTTGAAGATTACCGAGTGGCCGTCCAGATCGGCGGCGGCAATGATGAAGTGGCCATGAAGCACCTGCCTCTCATGTTAGAGGGCTCGGCCAGAGTGTGGCTGAACTAGTTGGCGCCTAGCAGCATTTACACTTGGGAGGATCTCTCTCTAGTGTTCGTCACCACATTCGAAGGCATGTGCAAGCGACCGGCAGGGCTGACGGAACTGCGGTCTTGTGTACAGAAACCAAATGAAACTTTGAGGGATTACATCCAGAAGTGGATCACGTTACATCACTCGGTGGAGAATGTGCCTGACCACCAAGCGGTTTGTGCTTTCAAGGAGGGCGTCAAGTACAGAGAACTGAGCTTGAAATTCGGTCGAACCGGAGAGATGTCCCTGAATCGGATGATGGAGATTGCCACCAAGTACGCTAATGGTGAAGATGGGGATCAACTTCGGAGCGGCAAGCTGAAGTCAGTTGCCCAAGAAACCGGAGGGAATTCCAATCGGAAACAGAAGCAGAAAGCCGAGCCAGCTGCTCCCGGGGAAGCCTTGGCCATAACTCAGGGAAAGTTTAAAGGGAAACCTAAAGGGCCTTAGAACCCCAAAAAGGTTAAAGACCAGGACGGAAATGATGTGTTGGACTTGCCATGTCTCGTCCACACGAAGAAAGATGAAGAGGGTAATTTCATTTACCCGAAACATACCACTCGACAGTGTCGACTCTTGATCCAACAGTTCCAGGGTAAGCAACCCAAGGGTAAGGAAAAGGAGTCGGACAAAGTCGAGGACAAAGAGGACAGTGACGACGGATACCCTCAAGTCAATTCCACCTTGGTGATTTTTGCTGACGTTGAGAGCAAAAGTCGACTGAAAGTCATCAATCGAGAGGTGAATATGGTTGCTCCGGCGACACCAAGTTATCTGAAATGGTCCCAGACTGCCATCACGTTCGACCAGTCTGATCACCCAACGCATATTGCCACCCCTGGGAGGCAAGCTCTGGTGGTCGACCCAGTGGTTGAAGGCACTCGACTGACCAAAGTCCTAATGGATGGTGGCAGTGGTTTGAACATATTGTATGCAGAGACATTGAAAGGGATGGGCATTCTGATGTCCAGACTCAGCGCCAGCAACATGAGTTTCCATGGAGTCATTCCTGGGAAGAAGGCTAAATCACTCGGCCAGATTGCCCTTGATGTGGTTTTTGGTGATTCCAAGAATTACCGGAAAGAGAAGTTGACATTTGAAGTTGTAGACTTCCAGAGTGCCTATCATGCTATTTTGGGAAGGCCGGCTTATGCACGCTTCATGGCCCGACCATGTTATGTGTATCTCAAATTGAAGATGCCTGGTCCCAAAGGTGTGATCACCATTACAGGCAATCGGAAGAAAGCAGAAGAGTGTTTTCAAAAAGGCTCAAAGATTGCTAATGCTCAGATGGCAGTGGTCGAGCTGCAAGAGTACCAGAAGACTGCTGATCCGAGTGAGTTACTACGAGCCAAGAAGCCTGCTTCAGAATCAGCTTTTCAGTCGTCCGGTGAAACGAAGCCAGTTCAGATTCACCCGACCGATCCCAATGCTGCTCCGACTCACATCTCAACAATGCTCGACTCCAAATAGGAAGAAGTGCTCATCCAGTTCCTCCGTGAAAACGGGGACATCTTCGCATGGAAGCCCTCTGACATGCCGGGTGTTCCCAGGGAGCTGGCTGAGCACCGCCTGAGAGTCGACTCAAAAGTAAAACCTGTCAAGGAACATCTCCGACG